AAACTGTGCTCTGGCGCCTGTTTGAGTGGCGATCATTTTGCCATTGTGTAGCTTGTGGGGAGGGTTCCCACCCCTTCTCCTGGTTTGGGGTTGCATGTGTCAGGTCCCCAGCATGGAGGGGAATCAGACCTTGCTCCTGCCCTGAAAAATGTCACAGTCTAGTGAGGACACTGTTAAGAAACATGATAGGACAGTGTGGTCAGGGGCTCAGGGAACACCCTGGGCGTGTGACGGACAAGCCTTTGCCTCAGTTGGCTCACAGTGCTTCTTTTCTCCCTGGCCCGGGCTGTTCTCAGGCACAGGCTGGGAAGGTACCTCACTCATCCCCACGGTCCAGGCCACCGGGAGCGCTCAGGGGACTGGATGGCAGCAACCAATAGCACCCTGCACCTCCACTCCCACGCAGCTCAGTCAGAACAAATGAGTTCTGCTTCACTGGGAGGGACGGGGGTCACAGTACCAGCTCTTTGATAAGGCTGACTGGAGAGTGTTGCTTCCCATGTTTCTTTGAGTCTAAGATACCACTGGGTGTGAGATGTACCACTAGGAAAGAAAATCACAGCCAGTCACACCCTGTCGTGCCATCTGGGTGGCAGATGCACGCCGATTTCAGAGACATCACAATGTGTAAAATGCACATCTCCAGTAAGTGAGGTGCAATGTGTCAGGGACAAGGTGTTTCCCACCATTCCCCTCAGAGTCAGGCTGCGCCGGATGGCAGGCCTCCCTCCTGGGGCCCAGCTGCCCACTCAGTCCTGAGCAATGGGAGCAGACCAGGGGGCGCCTTTCCTTTGGGCAGGCAGATCTGCGGGGAAGCCAGATCTCAAGCAGGTTCTCCCTTCTATTCCTAATTCCGTTAAACCAGTCCCTTCTCTCAGTGGAGGGAATGAATGAGTAGTGGGTTGGAGACGCTAGGAGCGCTGCCTTGCTGAAGTCTGCCCTGGAGAGGCTGCAGCCAGGGAACCGAAGACCCTAACATCAACACAGTGCCTGGCACCCAGGAAGCACTCTCAGTATTCACCAGCAGGTGTGAGTTATCAGGGAGATGAACAAGAATAGGAACCCAGAAGGACTTCTCCGGGCAGTGAGCCTGCTGATCTAGCTTGACAAAGCATATGCTCATTCAGTGAACACAGACCAGACACCTACAAGTGGCCGGCAGGTAAGTTAAGACCTTGTCTAATAATGGGGGAGTCAGTTAAGTAAAAATCATGAGAAGTCGGCCAATAAAAACTGAGTCCAGGCACAGTGGGAGTCCAGGAGAGGGTGCTGCCTCCCCTGGTCCCTGGGAAGGAGGGAGAGGCTCCCGGGGAAAACAGGTAGTGAGTTTGCTGCCTTTAACCAGCTTCTGGACTAGCATCTGTTCCTAATGTCACCATCACATTGCTTAGGAACTGAGTAAAACTCCTTGCCATGCAAGGAGTTTTCAAATTTCTTTGGAGACTTTTGCCATTTAAATTGAAGTGCCTGCTGGTGTATTTTTAAAAAATTTCCCCCTTCGAATATTTCCCACTTAGTAAAGTGGGGACCCGGGCAACAGAAAGAAATCAGAAATTGTTTTGGGTCATGGATGACCTCTTGATGACTTCCAGCATCTTGAGAGCAGATGAGCTATTTTGACCAAAACAAGTCTAAAAGAAAAACTGAAAATGCAAACTGGACTTTTCCCCCCATTTCAAACACCTTACATCCCCTCCCAGGTGGACTCCCTTCTGCTCCTTGGCACTCCCACTCTGTGCTGGGGATTAAACCCAGGGACTTGCACTTGCTAGGCAAGAGCTCTGCCTCTGAGCTACATCTCTCCAGCCCCTTTAAAATTTTTTTTTGAGACAAGGTCTCATTCATTAAGTTGCCCTTGAACTTTCAATCCCTGTCTCAGCGTCCTGAAAAGCTGGAATTACAGGTATGTGCCACCAGCCAGGCACTGTGAAGACAGTTGCCTGAGGTTTGCCAGTGTGACCTTTGTAGCTAAGCTGAGGGGTATTCCTGGAGATTGTGTCTCCATTCTGAGGTTCTGGGCCTATCATCATGTAGCAAGTGCTTTTGTGTGCACTGAACATCTGTAAATGGATCTGGGCTCTTCCTGGTATCTTAGGGCCAAAAGTATGTCTGTGCTCTACCATGTCTACAACCCAGAAAACATGTGGTACACACTTGTAAGCTAGTGGCTCGAGAGGCTGAAACAGGATTGTGAGTTCAAAGCCAGCCTCAGCAACAGTGAGGTGCTAAGCAACTCAGTGAGACCATTGGGTGTGAGATACACCAGTAGGAAAATGCAAATAAAATAGGGCTGGGGAAGTGGCTCAGTGGTTAAGTGCCCCCAAGTTCAATCCCCAGTACCCCCCCAAAAACAAACAAAAAAAAAACATTGACCCTGATGTCAACTAAGGGAAAGAGGATTGCAGAGTGTAGAGATCAGAAGTGCAGGACCCACTTGGTGGTCAGAAGTGATGTCCTTGATGGGGTTAGACTGCGGGATGATGGCAAAGAGCTGAGAAAATGTCTTGTCCTGTCCACAGAGATGGCACCTTCGCCAAAGCAAACGGGATTTGACTTCCATTAAGTGGAGACACTCCCACCTAGTGGCCTCCAATTCTGATTGATTCCCCTCACCATCTCTCTTGGCCCTTCATCTGAAGCCACATAAATCATGTATTTTAGAGCTGGGGTTGTTGCTCAGCAGTAGAGCACTCACCTAGCACATGCAAGGTCCTAGGTTTGATCCTTAGCACCACATAAAAAGTAAATAAATAAAATAAAGGTATTGTGTCCTACTACAACTAAAGAAAGTTATCTATTTTAAAAATTTTGAGGGGCTTAGGTGTAGGTCAACAACTACCTAATTATGCAAAATAAGAGGCAGCCCTGTCAGGGTGTGCGAGTGTGACTGAGGTACACTTTGCTTTTCTGAGGTCATGAGGCGGTGGGGGGCACATTGAGGAGGTAAGTTCTGCACTGATGCGTGAGCTCAGTCACTGGTGACTGGTGGACACGGAGCTCTAAGTTCCCTTGAATGAATGGCATTCTAATGCTCTGAAGGAACAATCACTAGGCCATGTCCTTTGGCTCACACAGATGTGCCAGCTCTTCACATGAGTAACTCTTCACAAGGCAATATATCTGCAATTCTTTCAATAGGAAGCCCCAAGTAGGCTTTTAGAAACACCAGGGGCCCTGTCAGGTAAAGAGGAACCTACTCTTGTGTTGGCGCTCAGGGGTCCCCTGAAACTGCCTCAGGGGGCCTGGGGGAGGGGATGCCAGGCTTCCATCTTCCCTTCTATTTAGAGAAGCTCTCTGTCTGCTTTATATCCCCGGCAAAAGGTACAAATTAACTTGCCCAGAGGGATGAAGTAGGTGACATTACTATAAGAAGTAATCTTTTAGGGACTACTTTGAATAAGAAACAGGAAGAGAATTTTCTAAGGGCCAAGGAAAGTTCTACCCACTTCTGACTGTGGGCCTGTGTTGCCAGATCTTACTTTTGGAGGCTAAGATTTTTTTAAATCTCCCAGTTTATGGTACATACATGTAATCCCAGCTACTTGGGAGGCTGAGGCAGGAGGATCACAATTTCAAGGCTAGCCTTAGTAAGACCCAGTCCCAAAGCATAAAGGATAGAGGAGGTAGCTCAGTGTGAAGAGCACCTGGGTTCAATCCCTAGTACCAGGGGAAAACCAGCCTTCCCAGCCAGCCCCTTCTATCAATTTTAGTTAGCTTTTTTGTCACTGTGATAAAAAAACCTGACAATAAGAATTTTAAAGAAGGAAAAGTTTATTTGACATTCATGTTTCTGAGGTTTCAGTCCATAGACGGCCAACTCCATTCTTTGGGGGCCTGAGGTGAGGGAGAACATGATGGCCCGAGTGTGGCACAGGAAAGCAGCTCAGGACACTGCTACCAGGAGGGGGTGGGTGGGGTGGATGGAGGGACTCCAGGGGATGACAAGCTCCTCCCTCATCAGATTAAAATATACCCAAAGGCATGCCCCAATGACCCACCTCCTCCAGCCACAACCTATCTGACCACACCACCACCCAGTTAACCCCTACTAGGAGATCTCTGCACGATAAAACAACCATCTCATTACCCACTCATTTAACCTCCTTATCCTTTTTTTTTTTTGTAGTTGTAGATGGACAGAATACTTTTGTTAATTTTTATGTGGTGCTGAAGATCGAACTCAGTGCCTCAAACATGCTAGGCAAGTGCTCTGCCACTGAGCCACAGCCACAGCCACTCCCCTCTAAACCTTCTCATGTCTAAACCTCATGTCAAGCACATCACATGAATTGCCCTATCCCAGTCGCAGGCCTTGACTAGGCACCTGTTGCATATCAAGCATTTCCTGCAGTGGGCTCACCTAGTCAGAGGTGTGAATGGAGTGAACCAGATGAGCCTGGCTCTGGGTGCAGCGTGTTGGTCCCAGGTGTTTCCTTCATGTCAGGCCCTTCTCAGCGCTGTGCCAAAGGAGGGCAAGGGAGAAGCCTCAGGTGTGGTTTTAGAGGCTAGGTCACCTCCTTGCATGAGTAAGCTTTCTTCTACGTGCTGACCAAAGGGCCTCTTCTCCATGAATCCCTGTGCTCAGTGGCCAGCTAAGTTCCACGATGATCATTTCAGTGTAAAGAACTTGAGGAAGGCAGACCTGCCGAAGTCCCAAGGACTTTGGGAAGCGAGAGGCATGATCACAGAGTCACCCACCCTTCAACATCCCAGCCCACAAGCCTTCACTCCACAGGTTTACTACAGACATCCTTGATCTCGTCTTCCCAGATGTAAATGTCTAACTCTTGAAATGAAGGCATTAGGGGGAACCTGCTTGGGGGCTGAGGTTACTGCTGCCCTGGATCTGGGTGTGAGCACTGCTTTAGATACCAGAAATTTTGTCTGTAATAAAGGTTTCTGTGCCTTCTGAATAAAGCAGTTGTCCAGAGATCCCCACTCTTAATAGCTTAGCTCCAAAATGGTCCCTTCAGTTCATGTAGCACAACTGGGAATATTGATTAAAAAACAAAATCAAAATTTATTGAAAGCAGTATCTCGCAGTAGCTCTGATTTGAACAAATCAGCTTGGACATACCATTACTAGGAAAACAATATGTACAAAAAGTCTCATGAAAAGGAGAATAAAGCAACTTGCAACAACCAGCCTGTATAGGACCGAGTTAATAACACAAAAGATGACTAAAGAGCCAGACGCAAGAGAGGGAGCTGCGTGCCTGCAAGCCAGGAGTAATAATCCTAGTTCCCAAAATTCCTGGACCATAGTATGTGGCCCTTTGGGGTCCAGAGGCTCTGCTCAGAGCACAAGGCTGTAACTGCTGACTCCACACAACTAGTCTGTGCCCTCAGCATGAGCTAAACGCATAACAATATCACCAGACAAGGCACCCTGGCCCTCCCAGTGATCCCATTGAGAGAAGTGCTCTCTGCGGAGTCCACAGACCTGGCAGGGACACTGGACCACAGACAGCATAGGGATGGTTACTCTGCAGCCAGTCACTTAAACTCCTAGACTATTCTAAGCCCTGTAATTCGCTTCTCCAAATCCCCACTAACTAGAGAGGTAGAAATACAAGACATGGAAGCTGCCTCCAAACCAGTTTTTGGTCTTTGATAAGCACAAAACTCTGTTCCACACGTCAGCTTGACAAGGACTATTAGGCACAGCAGGTAAAAGATTCCAAGGCCCCACCCAGTACCCTGCATCAACAGAGGAGGAGATGGTGGGTAACAGGAGGGAGATGTACACATTCTGCTGCCATGGTCACTGCTACAGCCTGTACAGTCTCACTTGTGGGATCGTATGCTGCTGCAGATTTGGGCGAGATGACTCTAAAAAGAGGAGATAGGCCATTTAAAGAAGATAGCACTTCGTAAGCCAGTCTACCCATGCACACATCTGTGTGAGTCTCAGCCCTTCCATTCTTGACTTGTACCTCACCCTGATTAACTTTTCTGAAACTTTCTTATCAAAACAAAGGGTTAAAATAACACTTGAATGAGACAGTGAAGGTATCAAGTGAGCATCTGGGACCATAATGCTAAAGGAGGAGGATGGTCACGTGGTTTGGGTGGCTGGGTGTGTGTGGGCCTGTGGCAGCCAGGTCTACTCTAAGTGCTCCCACCCATCACCCACTACCACAGATGACACACCAGGGAGGAGCCTCAGACCAAAGCAGGGTCAGTTAAAATCTCCTTCTTGAGAACGTAAATGAAAACAGGAACCTGAACAGCTGTGGCCCTGGAGCAACAATTAGAATCAGAGGTGTTAGTACCTAAAGCCACACATGAATCATTGTTAAAGAACAGCAGAACCAAGAGCCTTAGGAGAGGGTCACGTGCCAACAGGGAGGATGAAGATGTGCCAGAGAAAGGAGGCTGGGAACCCAGAGCCAAACAGACACTAGATTGGTGTGCCCATGAAGGGCCACATACTGCCACTGCTGATTTCTGATGGTCCCCAGCACTTTAAATGTTTCTTTGATTCTGTGAGATCCCTTATAACAAGCCTCTTCCCTCCTTGAAGGAAGTTTCAGTTCATGGTGGTCAGTGGACACCCTGGCACTTAATTGCCTGATCCTTGTAATTATTGTGGGACTTCAATGGCAGGCAATCTGGGATTGACCAAACTCAACATTAATCTTGGACCAGAACTGCTGCTATGTAAGCAGGATAACAGTCACAATCCCTTGGGAGAAGGCAACATAATTCTAAATATCAAGTATTCACTCAGACCCAGAGGACAACCCTAAAGAAAGCTAAACCAGGAAAGCTGCCACAGCCTTCCTGGCCAGGAGATGAACATGGAACCCACCGAGAGCTTCTTAATGTCCCCTAAAGCCTCTGGATGCAGCTGTGTGATATCAATCCTCTGCAAGTCACTGGCCAATAACCGCATACTCTGTGTGGAGAGGAGAATGGGTTACATTGATATGTCTTTTAAGGCAGAACTTCCACCCACAGCCCAGTATGCCTCAGGGGGTCCACTGGATATCCTGCATGTGATGGTGGGGATGGCTGGGAGGGAGAAGTGGCAAGGTAGGCAGGAGGTGGCTCAGGCCTAAAGAGAAGATGACATCAACAGCACTATCACTGGGCCACCAGCTGGATCACTGGGGTCAAAGGCATGCACGCTAGCTTAGCAACCCACACAGACCATCTGAGAAGCCACCCTGCCACTGGGGCTGAGGTCAGCAACTCGCTCTTTATAGTCTAGAGAAACCAGGGCAGCCTGCTTCTGAATCCCGCAGGGTTGCACAGAGTTGAAGGTACAGCTCTCACTGCCCTGTCTAGACTAAGAGCACCCCGTAGTCATAATCCCTTTATCCCTATTGTTGTAGCCTAAGTGTTATAACTGCAAACCCATCTGACTACTGAACTGCTTCTCAAGATCAGGCATCATGTCCTTTGCACCTTTGGCCTGCTTTAATCCAGTGGACAAATGACAGCTGGAACCCTGAGCCGGGCAGGGATCCTCCCAGTCTGGGCCTCTAACATGGGAAACAAAATTGGGTTCTGAGCCCTGCAGAAGCATAGAGATCAGGACCTAGGCCACCAAAGGGCTCTGAAGGACAGAGGTGGTTGATGGCCCAGGGAAGGGAAAGGCTTCACTGAGCAGCACACTGTGGTCTGGCTTCCCAGAGAAATACTTTACCGCTCCGCCGCCCACTGGCACAGTCAGGGAGATCTCTTTGCCATCAGCAAGAGGGCTGCCATTGGCAGAGATGCTGTAAATCTGCTCTCTGGCTGTTGGCGTGCGCAGGCCTGGGGCCTTGAAGACCCTACAAAGTGGGAAAATCTCTGTGAAGACGGTTTGGCAGACTAAAAAACATCAAGCACTGTGAGCCCTTCCAACCCCATCTGGTTTTAAGCTGTAGCTTTCAAACCACACATTTCTAGAAGGCAAGTTCTAAATTTAGGGAAAACATTTTTTAAGTAGTAATGACTAAACACAGCTGGAGAAAGGAGGCTGTAATTATCAAACATATATCTAGAAAGAGTCAATGCATATGCATGTAAAGTTTAGGACCAATCCTCTATATGGGTGCCAGTCCTCCACCCACCACGGGACCAGAAATAAACTGGCTAGGTGTTTCCCAGAGTGGCTAAGTCCTTCCATTAAGAGGAACTCTCCAGGGTCAAGGGAGGATGATTCAGAGATTATATCATCACACCAATCCCCACACCAACCTCCTTAAGATAGCTAAAATGCTGCTGTTTCCCCCTAATTAGCTTTTGCTACCTACCCATGTGAAAAAACAATCAAGTGGGAATTAAAAGTGAAAGTAAGTCTTCCTCACTTTTCCCACCTCAGAGTCAATAGCTCCTTACTCCACTCCCCAGAGGTAACTCCTCTGAATTCTAAGTAAACTTTCCAGAAGTATTCTGTGTGCATAAAGCAAATGGGATCCTAAAGTATGCACTGTTGGTAAGCTGCTTGGAGATCTCTGTGATTAGGAAGCTCTTCTTGTGGGGCATGTACACAGCCATTCTTTTCTAAGGGCTACACAGCATTCTTACTTGAGCGACTAACTCTTATGAAAGGTCTCAACTTCTGCTATAAACATTCTCACTTATGTTGCCCTTCAAAAAAGATGGTGTTAATTTTACTTCTACCACAGGTATAAGAAAGTACCTAGCCAGCTTAAAAAAATCTTTTGGCCAGAATCAGAAAAAATCCAGAGTCACATAGATGTCTCCTAGTCACCACTCTCATCAGATAAAGAATGTTCTTCTCTCTCATCAGATAAAGAACATTTCTGGCCCTGAACTGGGTGAACCTGCATGCAGGGGAGGGGCAAACACTAGGGAGCCCAGGTGGCTTCTCAGGCCAGGATTCAGGGCATTTCCTAACAGTCCTACTTTGAGTGCTGTCACTGCTGGGCTCCCCCCTGAATCCAAGTGCTGCTCAGCACTCACCTGGAGTCAAACCTGGGCGTCAGGCATGGAGTTGGTTTCACCATAGACAACTCTAATCTGCTTACAGCTGGGGTCACATTGCTGTTGTGGCTTGATCTACAGGGAAGAAACAGCCATAAATGTGTCAACTCTCGGGTGCAATGACAGCTGCAGCTGTAGAGGCAGATGACACGTGGAGAGCACTGATCATGCTCTGGATGTCCTGTGCCCATTAAGTCATGTGGCCCCACCAGCTAATGTAGGAAGCAAGCAGTATTTATCATCCTCATTTACAGATGCAGAAACTCAGGCATAGAGGTTTAAAGAGCTTGTCCAAGATCACACAGCCAATTAGGGAGGAGCAACTCTGAAACCCAGCAGAAATCTTGCAGAGTCTGACTTCTCAATCAAGCTGGAGAAGATGACACAAAGCTCACAGCTACCCCCAAAACTAGAATTCTTGTTCTCTTGAAAGACAGATCGTTAATGTCCTGCTACCTCTGCCCAGAGAGAAAGGGGGACTCATAGTCCAATGCCTACTTTCCTAAGCTGTTTCCTCTTATCTCCAAATAGTGGAGATTCCATAGTCATCTCATAGAATCTTTATTTGGCAAGACCAGAAGGAACATTTCAAGCAACTAATTGTGGGCAGGTGATGGCCACTCTGTGACTGATTCTGGATACCTCTGCACACAGACTGTCAGGCAACTAAACATAAAATACAGTTCTTACTAAACTCTTTTGAGCTCACTCTGCCTGTTAAAAATAAAACAGTGGGGGAGAATAGAGAAGGTAGGCAGAAGAACTGGCTGAGACTAGAGGCCCTCCAGCATGGCTCCTCAAGGATCCTGTGACTTCACACTCCTAGAACACTAATCACCAAAACCCTTTTTGCCTTCTTCTGCCTGTTGTACAGAGTTCTTTCAGAAAGCCCAAGTCACGTGTCTAACTTTGGAAACCCATTACCTTTTGCTTTTGCCTTTTCCTTGTACGGACTGGGTTCTCTTCTTAGATGGAGGACACCTTTTGACCTATAGTCACAATCAATAAAACTGAGGTTACACAAAGCCCAGCCCAGGGGAAAGTTAAGGAGGGTTAAAAAAGGAGAGGAAAGGGGATCAGTTCTTGGAAGGAAAGTTAATATTGAACATAGGAAGGGTTCAAATCGGGGCTGGGGTGGTGGCTCAGCGGTAGAGCACTTGCCTAGCATGTGTGAGGCACCGGGTTCGATTCTTAGCACCACATATAAATACATAAAAATAAAGTTCTATTAACAACTAAAAAAAGTTAAAAAATTTAAAAAAGAAAAGAAAGTTCAACTCACAGAATTTAGTGACTAAAGCATTCAGAATATAATTAATCAACAGAGGACTTACACTGGCTGGGCCTTCAAATAGAAAATTTGGGCCAAGATTGAAGCCTGACTTGCTCCAGTACTTTCCATAAAGTGCTACAGTGGTGGTCGCTCTGGGCATCCCACGTGCCCAATCCAAGGAACCCCCTACAGTCCTTACCTTCTGAGTCATGGGAATACCTGACAAGAGTCACTCATTTCCTGGCAACTCTCCCCTCCTTTCTTCCAAGTCCAACCCAGCCTTCCCGCATCTCTTTCTGTCCCTTGGCGGTCTGCATCAGGAGCCCTTCCTCCCAACTTCCCTCTCATGCCCACCTGCAGTCTCCCTCCTCATGCTTTCCCTGACAGTCTTTTCCACTCTCCCCGTGGGACTAGCATGTAAAGACCGGGGGGCAGTGCATCTCTACTTCCTCCTCCCCCAGAGCTCCAGGTGAAATTCCTATTTGAATTCCCATGTCCCAGAAAAGTACTCAACACACAACATGTCAAGCAACCAGCACGTCTCCTCTCACCCTAACCCACAGCTCTGCCTCCAGGGTCCCGTGTTCACTGGATGGCAATTGCCTAAGCTAGAAAGTATTTGGTCATCTCTGATTCCTTCTTCCACCAATCATGCTAGTTCTCCTTTATAAAACTTATCTTAAAACCATGACTGTTTTTAGTCACTGCCTTAGTTCAACCTAACAGCTTTCCTTATTTTCTCCTCTTCCATTTATCCTGAATACTACTGTAAAATATGGATCTGATGTCACTTACCATCACCTGTCTGACAGAATAGAAAATTCCAAGCTTGGCACACAAGGCCATCCGTTATTTGGTCCCTGCTCTCCTCCTGTCCTATACCAGCCATACCAAATTGCTTCCTAGGAGCTCCTTAGCTAGACCCTTTCCTAGCTCTTCCAGAAATTTTCTCCCCTTTCTTCTCACTGACCTTGAAGAGACTGGCTATGTCCTCCTTGGGTAGGGAAGGCTTACTAGCTTCCTCTTCTGAGGTCTATACACTTCAAATGCATGTCAATGATCTCTTTTGTTATTTACCACTTACGTGGGATGCTCTCAATCAAATGTGAGCTCTAGGAGGGCAACACTGCATCCCGTGTGTGTGTGTGTGTGTGTGTGTGTGTGTTTAGTTGTAGATGGTCACAATGTCTTTATTTTTATTTATTTATTTTTATGTGGTGCTGAGGATGAAACCCAGGGCCTCATGTGTACAAGGCAAGCACTCTACCACTGAGCTACAGCCTCAGCCCACATCCCATGTATTTTTATATTTGCTTATCTCTTGCCAGCCCTCAGCCCTTATCCTGAATTCCTACTTACTCTTGAAGTTTGAAGATTCTTATGTTTATTTTCCTCCTCCTCTTCTTCTTCCATTATCATTTCATCCACTTGTAATACCTTTCGTGCTAAAAGAGACAGCATTAACAGTGTGTTATTTCTGATGGGAAGAAATTTCATGCATTCACATTTCTCATAAGTGTTGAGAGCCACAGCCGAAGGGGCCCCAGCAAACTTCCAGCTGCCGGCTGATGATTGGCTCACAGCGGCCCCAGCAACATCTAGCTGATTGGCTCCTCTGCGGTGATGCTCATTGGGCTGTTTCCCTGCCCTTTCAGACCACGGAGCTGCTCATTGGGGGACTTTTTTGGCCCCGCCCACGTGACCCAGCCAATCGGCCTCAAGAGCAGGAGGATTGGGGGAGGTGGAGAGAAGCTTGTGTGGGAGAGAGAGGCTTGTGGAAAGCCGGTGGTGGCAGTTGAGGCTCTGAGGGTTTTTCCTGAGAGGCTGTTTTGTTTGGCGTGTGTGGTTCTAAAAATAAAGTTAGTTTCTTTTGACAAGTGGCTCCTGATTGTGCCCAGCCAGACTGTGGCACATAAGGAATGACACTTAACATAACCTAAGGCTACAATCATGAAATAGACTCAACATAAAGAATACCACTTTTTTCTTTTTGGCAGTGTTGAAGATTGAACCCACGGCCTCATGGCCTCTAGGCAAACGCTCCACCACTGAGGTATAATCCCATCCTAGAAGATCACTTGAAAAAAGTGGGGGGCATTTAAACAAAGGAACTTAATCAGAGTAGATAAGAAACCCCATACAGTGATTCTACAGGGATAGCCCAGCCCTCCTACCAAGACAGACTTGAGCTTCAAATGTGGTACTACCACTTACCAGGTCAAATGGCTTTAATCAAGGTGTTCAGTTCCCTCACATTTATCAGAGAGCTGTTACTATAGCGATATTATGAGGTTTGGAATGTATGCTCCATAAGAACACATTTGTTATTTTCATTCTTACCTCCAAGTCTTAGAATTATGTCTCTAAGTGTTTAGTAAGTATTTGAGGAATTAATGAATGTAAAGTCTATTGGACCATACCAGACACTGTTATAACAAGTGTTATTTATTGTATTATTGTTATTTATAAAAATAAAATTTTTATTATAATTGTCATCAAAAGAGGAAAAGGAGCATTAGGGATATTTAAGAAGAATGATTCCAAAGGATAAATGCCAATTTTTAATATTTAAGGGGTTGTCATATTGAAAATAGTTTTATGGGGCTCCAAAGAGCAGAACTAGTATTGATACATAGATACCATAAGAAAACTCTGGCAAGCACTCTACCAATTGAGCTACATCCCCAGCCTGAGATATATTTTAATAGCTTACAATGTACTTGAAGTTCAGTAGTCAAAAGGGTAAAAAAAAAAAAAAAAAAAAAAAAAAAAATCAATTTTAATGATTGGTTGACATTGGTCCTGGTATATTCAGTTGTACAAAGTGAAATCAGAAGACCTCTGCCTCCCATCCACCACCATCACTATGTAAGCAAAACTGATAATATGTAATCTAAAAACACTGAAGTTCAATTCTATCATAACTTGAGAGGCAGGACTGGAAAATGGCACAAAGAAAGTAAAAACCTCATCATTCAGCAAGACAATTCTGATGGAAGGCCAGTCATAACTACGAGAAGACAGTGTTTCTGGCCCTGGTTAGAGGAGCAGGTACCTAGAGTGTAGCCCCACATCCAGGCTATGGGGCAGATCTGCCCTCACAAGAGCTGGATGCATTCAGCTACCATAGCTTCATGATAGTGACATTCAACCCAGGTTTCAATTCATCCTGACCATATTCCAAGCTCAAAAGTTCCAACCTGGCTTCCCATATAGCTTTCCTATGAGACAGTGTTTCTCTGGTGTAGGACATGGATATGAGATGATTTTACATGGCCAGATCACTGAATTGGGGAATGTGAAATTACACTGAGAAAGTTTCCTTCTACGATTCTCTTTTGACCCTGCAGATCACATCAGAGAGTCTCAGTTGGCATTGCCTGTCTTGGAACATCTCCCTGAATCCTGCCAGCCTCTCTGTGTTACTCAGGGGAAAGCAAGCAGGCAACAATGTTTGGTTTCTGCACAGCTGTTTCCCCCCCCCCCCCCGATCTCCTTTCATTTTTGCTCACACAACAGCCTTGTGAGTTTGGTTAGTATTATACATACATACATTTAATTAACTAAATGTAGTAGCTAAAATAAAATTTTTGGATTTACAGGATTGGGAACTAGACATTAGAGGGAAGAGAGCCACCAAAAGGCCCTGCCTGAGAGGCTCACCAAGCTCCTCGGACCTCAGCTCTCTGTCCAACAAGGGGTTTTCAAAAGTACTCACCTTTGGAAGATTTCAGGGGAGTCTGGATAGCTTCTGCAGTTAGTTTGTTTATTTCTGTGATATCCACATCAGCCTGTGACAAACACAGACAAAAAGTACCAGGCTTAGTCCATCAAATATGAGAAATACTTGCACACGTGAGGCCCTGGTACATGAAAAGTGACTGCTAAATATTAGTTACAATACAATACAGCAAACCTCCATAAACCTACACATACCACAAGACCTAAAATATTGCCAATAACTTGTTTCTAAGTATGTATTCCTTCCCTGTTCCATTTTTGTCTCTCTCCCTCCCAATGACAGGCTTTTAATCCTGTCATTCTTCAGAGGTAACCACTGTTTGCATAAGACAGTAAATGTATAACTGAATGTGTGTGATTCTATCACCATGGGTTTGTCCATTTTCCCATCAATAGTGCTACTTTGAACTGCCTCACCTACATGTGTGATGCACTTGACGTCCAAGTTTTGTCTTGGCCACATACTTAGGAAGGATAGAGTACTACAGGGTTATATGTTACATAAATGTCAGCCTTACTATTATGCCAAATTTCTTCCCAAAGTTTACATCTCATTTGTAAACACAAGTCCCTAATGAATCACATCCTTTACAACACTTGATACTATCAGACTTTTTTGGGGGGAAGTCTACAGGGTCTCAACAGGGTTTTCTTTTTCTTTTTGTGAGATTGGGTCTTACCATGTTACTCAGGCTGGTCTTAGACTCTTAGGCTCAAGTGATTCTCCCATCTGAGCCTCTCAAGTAGCTGGGACTGCCATCACACCCAGCTCTCAGTAAGGTTTTCTGATGCTCCTTCAAAAAGGCTTCCTTGCTTTCTAATTAGGTTTATGGTGGTGACTACCCATATGTATGATTACAGGCAAGAACAGATATGATTTGTAGTCTTCTCCTCATGGGGCACATATAAATACTAAAATGGTTATTACAGACTAGGAATCACACAGATATCACATCTGGATTTGTAGAGACTACATGGAGTACTCAGAGAAGAATTCTGAGGCTGTCAGGGCTTAGAAGACAGTACTGGGATAGATTAGTGGGGTCTATCATGCTTGATGGAACAGAAATGGCATTCCTGAAAACTTTCTACAGTCTCTAGCAATAACTAGCATGATGTGACTCCCATCATTCTTTGATAAGAATAGTTCACCATGCCTAAATTTTATGCAAACATTGTGGTCTATACCAAACACCTGCTTCTTTCTTCTTTCTTTTTCTTCCCAAGAAGCCAGCACCCAATTAAAATCCTGGGCATTGAGTCTCTAAAGAGTTTTTCTGGAGATAACAGGGATTCTCTCATATTACACAGAAGTTCTTATTTCAGCTCTATATGTCTGATTAATTCAAAAAGAAGATGCATTAATTAATGATTCTATTTCATCTCAGAATGTTTTGAGGGGCTGGGGATGTGGCTCAAGCGGTAGCGCGCTCGCCTGGCATGCGTGCGGCCTGGGTTTGATCCTCAGCACCACATACAAACAAAGATGTTGTGTCAGCCGAGAACTAAAAAATAAATATTAAAAAATTCTAAAAAAAAAAAAAAAAAAAAAAAAGAATGTTTTGAAATATTAGATCCAGATCTGTGACAGGGGGGCATCAATAAAATGGATCACAGACACATAAGAAAAAGAAGGCTTGGGTCAAGAATGTTCTACTAGCTCAATTTTATTTCAGTTATTCCCATCCTTCTCTTACAATAGTCATCTCCCAAATCTTAAATTTTTTCCTAATTGAACAAATAGTTCCTGCCTATCTTTAGCTTCTTGAGCTGGTAGGGATCTGTTATTCAAAGAAAATATGTACCCTTTGAAGTCATACCCCTTCGAACCTCAGATTCCAAATGATTCTCATTGAAGAATGCAGAATTTTGTGTTCACTTTAAAAATGTGTTAAAAGCTACAATAAAATCTCTCTCAACAGGAAGACACACAAGTGGATATGCACATATTTTGTTTGTTTGTTTTTGGTGGTACTGGGGATTAAAACTAGAGCCTTAAACATGCTAGGCAATTACTCCATCCCTGAGCTACATCCCCAGACTTTTCAAATTTTTATTTTGAGCAGGATGTAGTGCCACAAGCCTATAATCCTAGCAATTTGGTAAGATGAGACAGGAGGATGGCAAGATCAAGGCCAGCCTCTGCAATTTAGTGGGAACCTGTTTCAAAATAAAAAATAAAAAGGGTTGGGGACATAGCTTAATGTTAGAGTGCCTCTGGGTTTTGATCCCCAGTACCAAAAGATAAAATCAAATAGAGTTGTAGCTTATCTCCTAGCTATTCAGGTCATGGTTTAAAGGCACTTGAGCTTGAGGCTTTCCACTTCTCCTAAAGAGTTCAGGAAAAGGACCACTAGGGGCCTGTCAAAAATGGAACTGTCTGCCTCTGAGGATTAAGAATGACAAAACTCCACTTCTCCCCACTATATTCTTAAGAACATTTCCATGGCCAAATGTGTGTGGATTTTTCCCGACACCATACTATATCCTATATTCAGAAATCCTATAGTGGACATCATTGATTCGATTCTGATCATCTATCTGAGAATAGCATCAGATCCTACAAGACTATTCCCTACTTCCCATGCTAAGTGCCAGCCCCAGGTTGTTTTACCTGTGTTTCTGACCAACTGATTATAAAGAGGAGTCACGGGCTCGGGTTGTGGCTCAGCAGTAGAGCACTCGCCTAGCACAGGTGAGGCCCTGGGTTTGATCCCCAACACCACATAAAAATAAATAAATAAAAAAGGAGTCCCTTGCCCCCCCCCATCCCCACCCTTGGGTTTGACTAATTTGCTAGAGCTGCTCTCTGAACTTGGAACCGCTTTATTTATGGCCTTCTGATGACCATTACCTGAGAGACTTTACTTGTATAATAAGATAACTTCTGTTCTAATTGGGATCCCCTCCTCTACCTCCCATAGCTTGCAGTAGCCTCTTTTGCTCCAGGAGCCTCAAGCTTTTTTATCTGACTCTTTCTTTGAATTTTATCCTTTGTGTATGGCTCCTATGTTTATGTATGTTGATCAATTGTATGCCTTTGTTACATTGCTAATCTATTACCAGTTTATTTTATATACCAACATTATGGAACCTTCAGAAGAAAAATAATATTTAAAACCTCCTTAGGGCTGGGTTGTAGCTCAGTGGTAGAGTGCTTGCCCAGCATGTGAGGCCCTGAGTTTGATCCTTAGCACCACATGAAAATAAATAAATACAATAAAGGTATTGTGTCCATCTACAACTAAAAAATATATATACTTAAACAACAACAACAACAAAAAAAAAAAAACCCAGAAAAATCCCTATAAGGTGCCTAAGGCAAGAGGAAGTGGCACATAACTTCCATGTTCCTTCTGGTTTGCTACCCTCCAGGAATCTCCATGTATTCAACTATTAGAAGCCCATGAACCTGTCCTTTTAAGGGTATTTATGAAGGCTTCACTACATAGGCATGATTGATTGATTTATCATTGGCCTTTGGTGATCAACTTAACCTTCTTCCCTCCCTGGAAGAGAGGTTTTGAGTTCCAACTCTCAGAGCACAGGGTTTGTTTCCCTGGAAACAACACCTCATCCAGTGGTTACCCAGGGACTTTCCAAAAAAAAAAAAAAAAAAATCACCTCATTAACATCAAGGTTGAAAGGGGTTTGTTATAAATAGCAAAAGACTGTCTTTCACCTTTATCACTCTGGAATTACTCAGGTCAAAAGGCCAAAAAGATGTTCTTACTGTTGTAGTTGCTTAAGAAATTATAAGGGGTATAAAAGCTGTGAGTTAGAAACCTTGGACAAAACCCCTAAAATATATAGTAGTCCCTTGGTATCCTCAGGGGATTGGATCCAGAAACCCCCTGAGGATACCAAAATTCATAAAGGTTCAAGTCTTTCATATACAATGATGTGGTATTTGCATACAACCTATGCATGTCCTATTATATGTTTTAAATTCCATCAAGATAAAAATAACTATTATACTGTATTTTTTTTTTTTTTTAGAGAGAGAGAGAGAGAGAATTTTAATATTTATTTTTTAGTTATCGGCAGACACAACATCTTTGTTTGTATGTGGTGCTGAGGATCGAACCCGGGCCGCACGCATGCCAGGTGAGCGCGCCTCCTCCGCTTGAGCCATATCCCCAGCCCCTATTATACTGTATTGTTTAGGGGACAATGACAAAGTCTGTACATGTTTAGTATGGATTTTTAAAAAAATATTTTTGATCCATGGTTGGCTGAACCTTCAAATAAGGAACTCACAGAAGGGCGTGAGGAAGACTGTATCATAACATCAGAGTCCTTTTGGGGATTCAGATCTATTCGGGCTATTCAGATCTATTCAATGTTTGACACAACCATAACTTTTTAGTTGGCAGAGATAATGCTCCCTTATGGAACCTCTCTTACAGTGTAAAACCCATTAGTTGGATATCTTTTTTTGGGTATGGGGGATTGAACCCAGGGTGTTTAACCACTGAGTCACATCCCCATCCCTATTCTTTTCTATACTTTTTCAGTTGTAGTTGGTATGATATCTTTATTTATTTTTATTTGGTGCTAACAATCAAACCCAGCACCTCACGTGTACAAGGCAAGTGCTTTACCACTGCGCTACAGCCCCAGCCCTGCAATCCCTTTGTTAATATTTTATTTAGAGATAGGGTCTTGTTAAGTTGCTAGGGCTGGCTTAGAACTCACAATCCTCCTGCCTCAGCCTCCCAAGCCCCTGGGATTATAGGTGTGCGCCACCATACCAGCCCATTGGTTGAAATTTGTGAGTGGATTATACTTAAAAACTAACCAGCTCAAAAGTAAAATAAGTCACTTACTGTTGCTGCCTCTTCCAGGGCCTGTTTGTTTCCTCCAAGGGCTTTAAAAAGAATATCACATTTAGTTACTATCAGATTTCAATGATAAATCATCTTCCAGCATTGAAAGACCCTCACAATCTAGTCCAATCTTTCTCTAAGCTGGATTCCTTCTTTTTTGACTTATTCCACCTCATCAAAATTTTTGTTATTTCTCAAATGTGCCACCATCTCTTATGACTTAGAGTCCTAGTATTAAGCATTTCCTCTGCTCCCAACAAATTTCTAATTTATCCTTTAAAACTCAGCTCAAATGTCACCCCAAAATTCTGCTTATGTTTCTATCATACTAGATTGCTGTGAACTGTAAAACTTACATAGTAAATTGCTGAGTTGTTTCCCTTTATCATACCCAACAGCTACTCAAAACAAAAACTGTTTAAGTGTCCACTCCTGTCTTGGACTGAATTCCATAAATAAGACCACTGTTTCTGGCAAAAATTTGGCATAGTAAATATGCATTTAGATGTGGAATAAACTTAGGTTACATCCTACTCTTAGAGACTGTCTTGGTATCCTGTATAACAGTTAAGATCTTACTGGTTATGGTAGTGCACACCTGTAATCCCAGCAGCTCAGGAGGCTGAGGCAGGAGGATGGTGAGTTCAAAGCCAACCTCAGCAACTTAGTGAGACCCTGTCTCTAAATAGAATATAAAAAAGCGGCTGGGGTTGTGACTCAGTGATTAAGCACCCCTGGGTTCAATCCCCAGTTCCAAAAAAAATAACAAAATTAACAACTCAAGTTTTGGAAACAGAATGCTGGGGTTCAAATTGATTCTGCCACTAACTAGCTTGAAACCTTAAGCAAAGTAACCTTTCTTCATGCCTTAATCTTATAATTTCTAAAACAGCATGATATTAATAATTACTTAGCTTGTTATGAAGTTAAAACACTAAATACACTAGCCACTACTCTAGTCTCTTTTGTAGTACTTATAATTCTAATGACATACTTGTAATTTTGTTTTAATTAATTAATTTATTTTTTTTGCAGTGCTGGAATTGAATCTAGGCCTTCATCCATGCTAGGCAAGTTCTCACCACTGAGCTATATCCCCAGGCCCTGAATTTTTAAAAAGACCTTTGTCCACTAGCTCATATGCTCTCAAGGGCAGGAACAATGTCAGTTTTATTCTCCAATGCATCTTCAGCATCCATCATTGTGACTGAGGTGTGCTCAACTTTTGTATAAATGAGTGAATTCATGAAATAATAAATAAAAAGGCAAACTGAAAGACTTGCTAAATCCTATGTGAGCAGGACAAGCATTTCTATCCAGGAAAAAGGCTACATACTATAATTATTAATAAAAAGGAAAACAGAAAAAGGATAACCCAGCAGAGGAAGGTCTCTGCTTTTCCCTGGACATTTAGTGAGGGAGTGGGAAAATCGGCTGAGATTTTTCTCTGGTCAGGAAAATTCTCCCGTCCTTGCAGTTCACAAACAATTTGCCCATTTTTAATCAAGACAGGAGTGAACACTTAAAAATCAATTTGCAATTTTCATGAGCTGCAGAAAGAGCTACTTCCACCTGAGTGCTGATAACAAACCAAGTCATTAATTCATTCATTTTTAAATTGTTGGATAATGTACACACACACACACACACACACACGTGCATGCACACCCGGAGGAATATCTCCTAGAGTGTGAAAATTATGTGAAATTCATGTTAGTTTGTCCATAAAGTTTTATTGGAATACAGCCCATTTGTGCCCATTCATTATAGTTGTTTCGAAACTACAAAAGCAGAGCTGAGTACCTGGATCAAGAACACTCTGGCTCAAGAAACCTTAAATATTTGCCTCCTAGTCCTTTAGGTTTGAATTGGTATGCCTGTTCGGGTTGTGGGGGTGTGACCACGGTAAGTGCTATTGAGAATGAAGCAGGCAGGTGAGACAGAATGCGACCAAGCAGCAGGGTTGCAGTTTTCCATAAGTAGCCATGTTGGACCTCATGAAGAAGGGAACATTTTAGAGAACCTTTTCTGAAGGGTGTCACGATGCCGCAGCCATAATTTGTCTCTTACCGAAGTAGTCAAGCCAGTTCATCTCGCGCACAGCCTTGGGGAGCCGTAGGATCTCGATGTTGTACAGGTTATCCACCTCCTTGAGAAGGTTCTGCCTGTCTGACTCAATTTGCTTGATTCGTACTTGCACTGCGAGAGGCAGAAGCCGAAAGGACACGCGTCACCGAGCGGGAGAGTCCGTGCCGCGGGCGCCCCAACCCGCCGGAGCCCTGCGACCGCCTCAGGTAGCAGCAGCGACGGCGGGAATCCACCCCTTACCTTCACGGTCGAAGTCCTTAAGAAAGGAGGCGAGCTTTTGGCTCCGTAACGAGTTGGTCTTGTTCGTCCGACTACCACGCTTCCTGGGAGCCATGGCGCTTCGGTGGAGGCTGCGGGGAGAGGGGGACCGAGCCTCAAGGGGTCAGCGGCAGAGACAGGGGAAGGAAAGTAAGAGGTGGAGACGACGGCTGGGAATCGTCCTTCGGGGTCTAGGCCTAAAGAGATCGCGAGACACGTACCTACGGGTCAGGAAGCTAGGGCCGAGAAGTATAGCCCGCTGCTCCAGCTGAGAGGGAGAGGCTTTCTAGCTAACCGCCACCCAATTCAAACTCAACTGCCTGCGGCTGACGAATGAGAAGTGGCCCTTTTAAGGATGGTCTCAGAACACCCAACCACAAGGAAGCTCCTCCATCAGACAGCCAATCCACAGGCAGGACTTCATTGCCCAGAAGTCATTGCGGCTTTACGGCATCCTTTCACGACTCCGTAGTCATGGTGGGGGGGCGGTCACTTCTGAGCGTGCGCAGAAAGTGCGAGTCCCGGCGCTTTCCGGGTGGGTTCTCACGCTTCAATATCTGGCGGGGTTAGGGAACGCGAAAGGCAGTTTCGAAGAGAAGAGACAAGATTTCGGCTCCAGGAGCACAAGTCTCGAGGGGAGACAGGTCTTGGCCTCCGGGAATCCTCAGTCTGAAGCAGGAGACTGCCCTATTCCGAGGAGTAACTAGGACACCCGCCTGAGCGGGGGAAGCAAGGGTCCTTCACGGAGCAGCTTCCGAAGGCGAGAGGACGCCTCGGGCAGGAGCTCCTGTGCGGAGGGACTCGGAGGCCGAGAGCCGGGCCGACCGCGGGGCAGGAAGTGGCTCCCACCCGGGACCCAGCACCTCGTCTCCTGACTTGGCGCCCTGACCCCCCCCCCCTTTTTTTTTTCTTTTGTTTGTTTTCCCAACAGAAGAAGATGGCTCAAGACCGGCCTTTACTTGCTGTGCAGGAGGCCCTGAAGAAGTGCTTCCCGGTGGTGGAGGAGCAGCAGGGCCTGTGGGAGAGCACCCTGCGGGACTGCTCGCCGCTCCTGGCCTCCCTCAGCAACCTGGCAGAGCAGTTGCAGGCCGCGCAAAGCGTGCGGTTCCAAGATGTGCCGGCGCTCCGGGCCTTCCCGGACTTACAGGAACGGCTGAGGCGCAAGCAGCTGGCGGCTGGGGACGTGGTCCTGGACAAGCTAGGGGAGAGGCTGTAAGGATTTCCTCGGTGCCGTTTAGAAGGATCTTTAAACTGGGCGCTTTCAAGTAGCTTGGGTGGATCAGAAGAGTGTTTTTACTCGGGAGCATGGCATTTGAAGGTGTTTCGGCCCTTCCTTCTGTTGCGAAGGGACCACTGTCAAAAAGCCACTTTCTGGCATTTCCCTTGTCAGAAGCCAGGCATGTAGAAGATACAAAAGCACAAAGGAAAAGGAGTGGAGAAGGCTTATTAGCCCTTCTCTATAGTTGTCTTTGGTAAAGGCAACAAGGAACTGGGCTTTAAGCTTAGCAGGTGCCAGAACTGAAGGTTTTACCTACATTACCCATAAAGTCCTTTAATACCTCTGCGACTTAACCTCACTTCATTCCAGTTTTTGCAAGTGAGGAAATGGACTCAAGCAGGTTGCCCTTGGGCACACATCTAGTAAATAGTTGACTGGATTCCAACCCCCATCTTTTGAAACACCAAAGTCAGAGCTTTTTGTTTGTTTGTTTGTTTTTTAAGTCCATCTTAAGATAAATATATATTTAAAATATTTATTTTTTAATGGTAGTTGGACACAATACCTTTATCTTATTTTATTTGTATATGGTGCTGAGTATCGAACCCATGGCCTTGTACCTGCTAGGTGAGCTCTTGACTGCTGAGCCACAACCCCAGCGCCTATGTTATTTATTTATTTTTTGTGGTGCTTTGGATTGAACCCAGTGCCTCACACATGCTAGGCAAGCACTCTGCCCCTGAACTATGGCCTCAGCCCTTTAAGTCCATTTTTTAATACCTTTATTTATTTATTTATTTTTTATGTGGTGCTGAGGATTGAAACCAGTGCCTCACACATGCTAGGCAAGCACTCTACCACTGAGCGACAACCCAGCCCCAGAGCTCTTAACTATTATTTGTTTTGCTGTGCATTGGTGTCTCTGTGCCCAGGAGTAGCATGTCTAAAAGCTCTGGTTTTTGCCTTTTAACTGTTTTGTCTCTCAGTAACCAAAAGGTTATTGATTGAGAAGAGATAGGAGACAGGGCATATGAGAGCCTGCCTTCCTAGAGGCACTTGTTTTCCTTTAGATCAGTGGCTTTTAGAGTTTGACCATGACCTATAGGGTGAAATACGTTTTGTATCATGGTCCACATAAACACATGCATACATATAAACTGAAATATTCCACAAAACAATGCTATGAGTATTACACTCTGATATTTTGTCTTCTGTTCTACAAGTCACAGACTACAAGTAAGCAGATCTCACAGTATGAAAAACAGCTTTTGAGAGAATAAATATTGTTTTGAGAACTTTTTACTTCAATTGATTACATATTTGTGTGTGGGTGTTGGGTTGTTATTCTGTTTTTTCATTGTGAGTCATGGTCAAACATTTTTTTTCATTTTTAAATTTTTATTATATATGACAGCAGAATGCATTACAATTCATAGTACACATATAGAGCACAATTTTTCATATTTCTGGTTGTTCATAAAGGGTCAAATATTTTTGAAAGACACAGTACTAGGCTGGGAAATGCCTTCTACTTTTGGAAGTTGTAGCCTTTGTCTTGATGGCTGGATCCTTTGGGGTCACCGATGAAATAATATTTACCATAACCTAGACACTGCTCTAAGCACTTTATATGCATTATTGTGTTTAGTTTTTAAAATAATTTTATTCACTCATTGATTTGTTGAATAAGTGTTTGCTCTGTGTGCTAGTCTAGTTCTGTATCGTGAGCAAAACAAGCTGTTTTTATGCATGGGGGAGAATAAATAACTTTCCACAGTAGTCTGTGCATCCTGAGCCCACACTTGACTGTTCAAGAATTTTCTAGAAAGGGTTAGGGAGCATGTAGATGGGAATGGTTTGTTGCTTCAGTACCCTCTTTATTCCCTTTTCTTGTACATGGCTTGAGTCTGTGAGTAAGCATTTGCTCTCCTTAGGTTATTTATTTTGTGGAGGGGGGCAGTGCTGGGGATCAAACCTAGGGCCTTACACATGCTAAGTAAGCATTCTGCCTCTGAGCTTAACCCTCAGTCTATCCTTAACCCCAGAAATGTCCCTTAGTCTTTACTTTCTTTGGTAACCGGGCTTATCCCACAGCTTTGAGAGCAATATAACTTCTTCAGCTCCCCATTATAAAGTTATTTCTTAATTCTCGATCTACCTGTACCTCCAAAGCAATATCACCAGTCTCCTTAGCTCATGTTCTCATTTGGGGGTAGTTTTTCTGTGAGGGGATATTTGGCAATGTCTAGAGACATTATTATCATGGTGGAGATGGTGAGAGTGTGGTTTATTTCTGTCCTCTGGTGGGTAGAGGCCAGGTGTACTGTTAAACTTCCTGCATGTGTGAGGTGGCCCTCCACAAAACAGAATCACCCAATTCAAAATGTCAGAGTGCCAGGATTGAGAAGGCTTGCTGTGTACATTTCTCATATTGCCTAATGCAGAGACTCTTCCACAGAGCCACCCTCCTCAAGGTGCGTGACACGGTCAGCAGCCATGTGGAGCAAGTGTTTCGGATCTATGAGCAACATGCAGACGTGATCGGCCTTGTTGCTGTTCTGCAGCCCTCGGCTGAGAGCCCTTCTGTGGCTGACATGTTGGAATGGTTGCAAGATATTGAGAGACATTATCGAAGTTCATATCCTTTGCATACATTCCAGATAAGTGTTCAGAGATATTCCAAAGTCTCTTTAATTTTCTAATCACAAGTTTGGATTCACTCTCTTTGGTTCTTGAACATGGATTCCTCTTTGATTATTCTTTATTATGATTTCTCAAGTAATTTGTAACTAGCTACTATCTGCCAGTCACTTCTGTAGGTACTAGGAGACAGACATTAAAAAAGGAAAATATAAGGAGCATTTCAGATGATGATGAGTGCTGTGGAGCATAAAGCAGGGAATGTGAAGTATGATGGTGGGTTGTGGTTTTAAATAGAGTGGTCAGAGCAGGCATCATGAGAAATGGACATTTGAGCAAAGATCAGAAGAGGGCAAGGGAGGAAGCTGTGTAGATATTTGGGGGAAGAGTATTCCAGGCAGAGGGAACATCAAATGCAAAAGCCTGAGGTGAGAGTGTGCCTGGTATGTTTAGGAAGTAGCCAGGAGGCCAGTGTGGCTAGAGCAGGGTATGAGGGGAGTCTGCTGGGAGGTGAGGTGATTGAGGAGGTGGCTGGACTTCTTAGGGCCGTGAATGTCTTTGAAAGAATTTTGGCTTTTACTTTGAGTGAAACAGAGAGCTATTAGGTTTTCAATAGAAAAGTAACAAGAAAAGATACATGTTTTTAATGTAACCATGCTGACTGTTCCGAGGAAAGAGTTGGGGTGGTGGTGGGCAAGGGTGGAAGGAGAAGACTAGTTAGTTGAAGTTCTGGCTGTTTTGTCTCCATTCTCACCTGATACCTACATCCACCCTCTGGCTTAAGTTTCTGCTTTCATTGTTGTTGCTAGTCTTGAGCCTCAGTTTTCTGTAGATGCCTCCAGCTGGATTGCTTAAGAAAATAAAAAGTCAAGCTCAAAGTTGAACTCTTCAATCTAGCCCTCAAATTCAACCCCCTTTCTTTTATTTGTAGGCTCAATGCTGTCCATTCACCTGCTCTGGAAGTGTTAGGATAGTCTTCTATCTTTTCCTCTGTTTTCTCTTTCAGTTGCAGCAGTAGTAGTGATGGTGCTAACAGTTTTAGTAATGATGCCAACAGCAGCAGGAGCAGACTTTACTGAGTACTTAGCATGTGCTAAACTCTTTTCACAGGCACTTATCAGGCACTTCAATTCTGTTTCCCTGGTGCTTCTTTTACAGTCAGGTGGCACATAACAAATTTTGGTCAGCAGTGGTATCACATACCACAGAGGTCCCATAGGATTGTATCACGTGGTGACGTCAGAACTGTCTTAGTTCGTGTAAGTGCACTCCAGGATGTTTGCACAGGACGGCATTACTTACAATGCCTTTCTCAGAACATATCCCCATCAGTAAGTGATGTGTGACTCTTTTTCTCTCTATTCCCTCTGCCACTTCCACAGTTTCTCTTTTGGATTCTTAATCACATGTAGCCTTTGGCAGCCTTCTCTGTCTCTGACTTTTGCTCCTCTAAGCTGTCTCTCACTTCCTTGTATCTTTAGGAAGTCTAGTTCTCATCAGGTTGCTCATACAATATGTGTCAGTAGCTTCTGCTGCTAGTAGGATAAAGTTCAGAATGCCTACCTTGTTCCTCGGTGTCTGTGTGTTCTGGCTCAACCCACCTTTCCTGCTATGTGCCCTTCACCTGCCAGGCATGCTGGAAAGTTCGCAGTTCCCTGAAGGCACTCCACACTTCTTCACTCCGTACCTTTGCTTATGTGTTTCCTACCAGCTAAAATGTTCCTGTGGTCCTCTAAAGTGGATGTATTTCCCCTTCAAACTTCTGCTGCGTTTGTCTTTTATGTCACTTTGCTTGTTTTTAGTTTCTGGTTTTGTCCTTACAAAAGATAGTCTAGGTTTCAGGGACAGTGTTTGATTCTTGTTTTCTGGTGTCTCAAGCCATATTATTAGAGTTGATTAGAAAATATTGTGGCACAGTCTAATCCCACTCCTCCCCCCCAGAGAAATGTAACAATGGCTCTACATTGACTTTATAGTTCCCAAAGCTTTCATGAGGTACCTTTCCCCCACTTCAGCATTATTCCTTTTCTTTTTGAGCAGTCCTTAACTTCCAGGAAAGTATCTGAAGAGAAAGTATCTCTTTTCCTCCATCCAGTGGGGAGACTTGGCAGGTATCCAAGCATTGCCCAAGGCCTGGGACCAAATTTCAGCAGATGAACACCAAGATCTTGTACAAGGTACTATTTTTTAAATTCCTTCTTATTTCCTCTCCTCCTTCCCTGTGCCTCTTTGGAGACATTAGAGAGATGCCCTTGTTGTGCTCTATATCTTTATAAATCTGGTGTTTATGTTCTCTGGAGAGGTGATATGCCAGTTTTCCCTCTTCCTATTCCAGATATCCTACTGAATGTTTCCTTCTTCCTGGAAGAGTAAGGAAACTTCACGTTTATGTGGAGACCAGAAGCACCACAGTTGAAGACTGACATTGCTGCACTGTGATATTTCTAAAGAAACATCAGCATAACAACCTGACATGTTTGAAATATCAATGCCTAAAACCCAAGGACTGGGTCCTGAGAGGATTGATGGTAAATGTCTCTGGGGCTTCTCCATGCCAGACCGTGCCAAGGGTTCCTGGGCCATTGCTTGCCCTTCCTGAGGTTCAGGGCAATGGAGGAGATAGAGAGAAAGCAGGAAAGGCAGTACTGATAAACCTGTCTGTATCATAAGGACCAAGCAGCAGGGAGGGAAAGGACAGGAGATAAAGGGCAGAAGTCACCTGTGGCATTATCTGAAGCACCAAGTCTGACTGATATCGGATCCTGGCTTTGTGTCTGTACTTGACACCTTGAAGAACGAAAAAGAGGTTTTGATGATTTAAAGGAGTAAGGATATGGCTGGGGGGGGGTATGGTTCAGTAGTAGAGCTTGTGTTTGGCATGTTTGAACCCCTGGCTTCAATCCCCAGCACCAAAAAAATAAAAAATAAACTAAGAAGAAAAGAGAGAAGGATGACAGGTTGCAGTAGTTTCTTATCAAGTGATTTCCATTTCCAAAGCCTGCCACCAGGGGGAGGTGGTGCAGTATGAATTGTGTGGTTGCTTTTGTCTTGGAGAGCAGATCTCCTGTTGCTGTTACCATCTGAGAGAAAATAACTGGGGAAAGTGAGACTTCCAAAAAGACAGGGTGTTTTTGGCCAAAGGTGGCATCACACTTGCCACATTTTTTTGAGTTGGAGTAGCTGCATGGGTGGGAGAGAGCCAGGATAGGCAGGTGACTGGAGTGTGGGACTAAGGGCCCTGGCCTTCATGTGTGCAATGATTGTGTGCCTGTGGAAGTCTCATGACTGACATAAAGGGACTTAGTAAGGAGTAGAGATATTTTTCAAAATGAAAATGGCTGTTTATTTTTTTATTACCATGCTTTTTAAAAAGATTGTAAGAAAACTAGGAAAAAATTTAAAAGGTATAAATAAATTAACTCCACCAAAGGCATTTTGGTATATGTTCCTTTAGGGGCAACTTACAATTTTTTTTTTTTTTAAGCATGATACCATCAATATATACTGTTGTCTTTTAAAACATTATAGCATGGCATTTTTTCATATATGTAAATATACCTCAGCACAATTATACACCATTGTATGTATCATATACCATTTTGTGAATGTTATAAATTTTACATTTCATCTTACATTTTACATAGTTTTCTAAATCTTTTGTGTTTTTCTACCTATAAAGGTAATACATTCTGATTGTAGAAAAATTGAAGTATTGCATAGAAATATACTTTGTCCACTTACCAAATAACTAGTATTAATAAAATGGTATTTTATTCCTCCAGTAATTAAAAAAATCTGTCATATACATAATTATTATAAATAAAACTTAGAAAACATTTGGATGTCAAATCTTATCATGGGCTTGGGGGACAGAAATGAAAGCATCCTAGGAAGGCTTACAGTTCAAGTAGAGAAAGATTTAAAAACCACTGGTTTTTCAAACTTTACCATTCTATAAGTCACTGATATCTTGTTAAAAATTCAGTTTCTCATCCTAAATATCTAGGAGGACCCAAGATTCTGCATTTCTACTGCATTCCCAGGTAATATTGACACTGATCATCCAGGGATCAGTTGTAGATTTAAATTGCAATACTGTAACAAAAGTGTTATAGTTGAGGTAAAGAAAGAGTGCTGTGGGAGAATAGGGGTGATGACTAACCACTGTGGGATTACTTCATGGCGACAGTGACATCTGATTTAGCCTTGAGAGGAATGTTCCTTGGGGCCAGGAGAGGGGTGCAGCGCATTCCACATGGGACAGTTTAGGCAAAGGCAGGCTTTGATTAAGAATGTAAGCTAAGTCTTAATTGAAAGTTTGCTGTGTGCCTGGCATTGGGCTATGGCTTTTACCCCCTAGAACTGGCAGATGTTAATAGTTCAGTATAGCAAGTAACTAGAGTTCATAGAAGGATGAAAGAATGGCAGAAAATAAGTCTGTACAGCAGACGAATCAAATGCTGAAGGATCTTGAATCCTGACTCAAGAGTTTGTATTTTGACTGGGCATGGTGAAGCATACTGTAATCCTAGTATCTTGGGAGTTTAAGGCAGTAGGATTACAAGTTCAAGGCCAGCCTTGGCAACTTAGCAAGACCCTGTCTCAAAAAATAAAAGGGGGTGGGGATGTAACTCAGTGGTAGAACACCACTTTTGGGTTCATCTCTCGTACCTACCCCCCTGGAAAAAAAAAAGGGGGGAATCTGTATTTTGTTCTACACATGGGTTATGTGTTTGTGTGTATGTGTACACATATGTACAATCATGTGCCATATGATGTTTCAGTCAATTAAGGACTGCATATTGAGAGTTGCTCCATAAGATTATATCAGTGCTGGGCAAGTGGTGCATGCTTACAATCTCAGGAAGCTGAGGCAGGAGGATTATGAGTTCTTAGCTGGCCCCATCAATTTAGGGAGGTCCTAAGCAACTCAGCAAGACCCTGTCTCAAAATAAAAACATAATGGGCTAGGGATATAGCTCAGTTGGTAAAGTGTTTGCCTCACATGCACAATGCCCTGGGTTCAATCTCTAGCACCACACACACACACAAAAAAAAAAAAACCAGAAAGGGCTGGGGGATGTAGCTCAGTAGTTAAAGAAAAGATTACATCAGTGACATTCTAGTCTATTTTAGCTTGTGTAAATATACTTTATGATGTTCACACAATAACAAAATCCACTAATGATGCATTTTTAGAATATACATTAAGCAACACAAACTGTCTTGTATGTATAGCTTTTAAAGCTTCATTGAAACAAGCAAAGACTAAATAGAAACAATGTTTATAGTACTTAGTAATAACTATTATTTAAGTATAATTGTTTTCAAATTTTGTTCCGTTTTCCTTCTGTTAAAATGCCGACTTTTTTTTTAAAGAGAGAATATTTTAATATTTATTTTTTAGTTTTTGGTGGACACAACATCTTTATTTTATTTTATTTTTTTAAATTTTTTTATTAGTTGCTCAAAACATTACAATGATCTTGACATATCATACATTGATTCAAATGGGGTACGTCTTTATTTTATTTTTATGTGGTGCTGAGGATTGAACTCAGCGCCCTGGGCATGCCAGGCGAGCGCTCTACCGCTTGAGCCACATCCCCAGCCCTAAATTGCCAACTTTTAAATTGTTCTTTTAAAATTCAAATTTGATGTATTTTTGAATAAGTGATACATCCACATTGTATAAAATCATAAAGATATGAAAGCATACTCAGTGAGAATTCTCCCACATTTACCCAGTTCTCTGCCCTGGAGGCAGCCAATATTTAATGTATCCAGTGCATCCTGTGTAAGTGTGGTGTGGGTGTCCCCTACCATGCCCTCCAACTCTCCTACCTCTAGCATCCATGCCCTTGGGCCTTCCCTTCCCCTTGGCATGGGCTGGCTTGCACATTTGCATCTAATGAATAGAATACTACAAAGTGGTGGATGTCACTTCTGAAAATGTGTTATGAAAAAAGACTGCGACTTCCATCTTGGTGCTCTCTATCTTTCTGATTACTCACCCTGAGGAAGTCAACTGGGATGCTGTGAGGCAGCCCGTGGGGTGAGAGGCTGATGCCTGCCAGCAATCTGGAAGGATCCTGGAAGGAGATCCTCCCTCCCCAAGCTGAGCCTTTAGATGGGTCCACATCCCTAGCTGACAGCTTGACCACACTCTTCCAAGGACCTGAGCCAAAGACACAGCTAAGCTGAGCTGGGATTCCTGACCCATGTAAACTGAGAATGAATGCTTAAATTGCTGTTCTGGGGTAATTTTTTCCAAGGTAGTGGATACCTAATTCAGCAAATATGTTTTTGTTTTTCTCCCTCATTTTTATATGAATAGTAATGTGCTATATGCCCAGTTTTGTACCTTTTTTTTTTTTTTTTTTTAAAAATTACTATATCTTGGAATTTGTTCTATATGAATACAATAGCTTCCTTTAAAAATTCTTTTTTCAGTTATGGGAATGCTCTTCCACTTAGCTAAATCCCTAGCACTTTTTTTTAAAAAATATTTTTTAGTTGTAGATGGACACAATATCTTTATTTATTTTTATGTGGTGCTGAGATTCAAACCCAGTGCCTCAACATGCTAGGCAAGTGCTCCACTACTGAGCCGCAACCCCAGTCCCCCAGCACATTTATTTATTTATTTATATTTCGAGACAGGGCCTTGCTAAGCTGACCTTAAACTTGGCAATCCTGCCTTAGCCTCCTGAGTCATAGACTTATAGGTGTGTACACTGTGCCCAGCTTCATTAAAAAAAAAAACCAAACAGATTTACATACCTTTTGCCAATGTGTGGGTATACCATAATTTATTGAACATAGTTTTCTAGGTGTCCACAGCTTATCAATGACATTGTCAGAATTTTCACTAGGGGTTGGTTCTGGTGAAAGAATCTTTTCCCCTGAACATTGTCCCCTTTCTGCCACAAAAGGCAAAAACACCTAACACCTGCTTGAGCTTTCTGAACACACAGTTCTGCACAGGATGTGGTTCCCCTAGCACAGAGCTACCCCCTCTTTCTTGGCAGTGGCACATGAAGTGTCCAGGGCTCTTCCAGGGCAGCTGCAACCTTGCCAGTTACTCTCCCTTCTGATCCCATAGCCAAGATGGTTGGAGTGAATCCTGGGGCTGTCTGCCAGAGACTTACACTTTACCCTTTATGCCAGGGCCTGGGAGAAAAAAGCCAGTCCTTAAGTGTCCTTCTGGGCACTCTCCTCTCCTCCTCATTCCTGGAAGGCTTCTTGGTTTCTACATAGTGCAGAAGAAAGCCATTTTTCTGAAACTGGTATCTGATGGGGCATATTGGAGCCCCAGCCCCAAGGACCATGATCCATATGTGTGGGAAGGGGCTGGGTACCTACATTCGTACCAAAGAACCCCTCATTTCTACTGCAGAGTCACTAAGAAACAGCCTTAATCCTGAGAAAAAGTGTCAGTGCAAAGAGGGATGATTGGGTAGAATAGCCCGGAAAGGTTGCCCTTCTCGGGAAGAAACTAGTCTTCATAACTTTCTCATTTCTTCATACCTTTCTCTCATTGCTCAGGACATGTAGCAAGTCCCCAGTTCCAGCAGACACCTTAGCATTGCTGGGCATGGTGGTGCACACCTGTAATCCCAGCCACTTGGGAGGCTGAAACAGGAGGATCTCAAGTTCAAGACCAGCCTCAGTAAATTAGCAAGGCTCTAAGCAACTTAGTGAAACCCTGTCTCAAAATGAAAAACAAGGGCTGGGGTTGTGGCTCAGTGGTAGAGCGCTTACCTAGCATATGCGAGGCCCTGGGTTCGATCCTCAGCACCACATAAGAAAATAAAGATATTGTGTCCAACTAAAAAAAAATAAATATTTTTAAAAAATGAAAAACAAAAAGGGTTGAGGGTGTAGCTCAGTGGTTAAGAACCCCTGGGTTCAATCCTCAGTACCAAAAGAAAAAAGAATGAAGTAATAATAATTATGTCTGTCACATCCACACTCATTCATTCTGAGGCCTTCTGTATGTCCAGCATGGAACTGGTCATTGATGATACAAAAAACATGGTTTTGGAGGCTGAGTAGATAAGCATGCTTCTTTGAGGAGGGCTGTCATGAGGGACGTGCAGAGGACAGAGTGGGTGCCTGATTCTTTTTCTGTGAGACTAGATCCCGAGTGAGACTCTCTGGTGTCTATAGATCAAGTCATGGAGACAGGGACAGCACCGGCCATCTACCATCCTGTGAGCAGGGAGCAGCTCATCCCTGTTATGGCTCTTCTGCTGATTGAAACGTGCAGAGTGGTTCTTAATTTGCACAGAAAGCCCAGACTAATAAATCCACTACTCAATTGCAATCCCCACAGGGCGTTTATAGGCAGCAGCTGACTTTTATCAGCTAGTTTGTTCTTTCATATAAGCAGAGTTTTATGAGGGTCTCCTGAGCTGGCTTGTAACGTGATGAAACGTCTGCAAAACTCTGCCATAAATCCCCGGCACCTGCCAAGCAGAGGATGCTGTTCTCCAGGCACATTTTGTCCAGCTGGCGGCTCTGTCCCCTTGCCCAGTTTGCATTTTTGCACTTGTCTCTTTAAACTTGGATTTGTTTTTCAGCTCTCTGCGGCCTCTTTAAAGGCAACTGAAAAATGAGGGATAGGAAAAAGGAACTAGAAAGTTACATCTGTGCTAAAAATTACCCCGGCTCACGTTGCTCTGAAAGCTGGTTTTGATCCCACTGCTGAAACAGACATCAGGCTTCCCAGCCACACGAACTCCAGGACAGGGACCCAGCGGACAGTGCCAACAGAGCCCATTACTGTTACTTTGATTCTTTTCTTGGCCATCACCCTTTGTACTTGCCAAAG